TAAACCCTAAACTTTCCCTAAACCCCTAAACCCTAATTAATGGATGGCGCCAGGCCGGATGGCTTTGCCCTTACTTTAATGAAGCCCGAGCCTCCAGACTAAAGACCTGGAGCTAAACCCTGAACCCTAAACCCTTAACCCCAAATTTTAAGCCCTAAACCCTAAACCCTAAAACCCTAAACCCTAAACCCTAAAACCCTAAACCCTAAACCCTAAAACCCTGAAACCCTAAACCCCAAAACCCTAAAACCCGAAGCCCTAGACCCTAAAACCCTGAAACCCTAAACCCTAAAACCCTAAAACCTAAAACCCTAAACCCTAAAACCCGACAACCTACACCTTCAACCTTCAACTCTAGAACTTTAACCCTAAACCCTAAACCTGGACGGAGCTGTCGGACTCTCTCCGGCCCTTCCACTCACGCGCGGGCCGACACAGGCTTCAGGGCTTTCTTTGTGTGTGTGGGACTTTGTCGGTTTAGGGTTTAGGGTTTAGGGTTTAGGGTTCAGGGTTTATGGTTTAGGGTTTTGGGTCTTTAGGGTTTGGGGTCTTTAGGGTTTAGGGGTTGGGGTTAGGGTGTAGGGTTTAGGGTTTAGGGTTCAGAGTTTGTCGGTTTAGGGTTGGGTATTACCCAGACCCACAGCCCGAGCCCTAAAACAAACGAACACCCTACCTAGTTCCCAAAGCCTCCGACACAGTAACATCCTGGAACGAATGAATCCCGAAACACGGGTTGTTGAACCCTAAGCTGATAGAGAGCCCATAATAAGCACAAGAGGGTTCCTTGTTGGTTTTCAGATTACAACATTGCTGCTATCCTGTCTGCGGCCAAGGGTGCCCAAAACCTTCCTTTTCTCAAGTCTTGGCTGTTGGGCTTCCTTTGCGGTTCAGATTTTGTTGTTCAGTAAACCCCAAAAACTCCAAACCCGGTGATTACCGTTCTGATAGTTGTGCGACGGGGTTGCTCATGAGCAGCTGCTAGGGTTCAGCGGGGACGAGACATTGGGTTTAGGGCGTAGGGTTTAGGGCTAGGGTTTAGGGTTTGGGGTTTAGGGTTTAGGGTTTAGGGTTTAGGGCTAAGGTTTAGAGGGGCATGAGCCTTAATTCCTAAACTCTACCTGCGCTCTCCCCCATACCCACTATCAGGGGGCTGCTTTGGCTGCATCAAGTTGCGTGGGGCTCATGAGGATTTAGAGGGTTTCACAATGATGAATGGTTTCACGGAGCGTTTTTCGTTGGGGCCCTATAAGGCTATAAGGTTGAAAATACACCTCGTATGTCGTGGGCTGCACGGAAGAGGTGCTTACCTCACAGTCATAGCAAGGCTTTGGGCTTGGTGTCTGGAGATTTTAGGAATTCCGGGATTGGGGTTTAAGGTTATAAACCTTAAGCCCTCTGGGTGTTCAACATATGTTTCCTGAAGCACGGAGCCCGCACGACCCGGTGACTCTTCGCGTCAACAGCCACGATGCTCATTTGTGTTCCTTGGCATCAGCATGATACTGTTGATGGACAAAATCCTGCATGACTTTATATACCTAAACTATGGGATTTATGGTACTATACTATATTTGGGTCATGCAGGATTTTGTCCATCAACCGTAGCTACCAGGGAGCTGGCGCGAGATTTTTTGTTAGGTTCGGCCTCAACCTTGCTGACGCCTGCGCCAAGGAGCGTCTTCCAAGACGACCTTCCGGGTAAGCGAGGGCTTATAGGGCCTAGGCCAGGTTTTCGGATGTAGGTTTTACGGATGAGTTAGGATGGTTTAGGGTTAAGGGCTTCAGGGGTTTAGGGTTAAGGGCTTCAGGGGGGGTTTAGGGTTCGGGGTTCAGGGTTTGAGGGTTTTGGGCTTAGGGTTTACTGATGGTTTCTTATTAGCTGCGGAAGCAAGATATCAAGATTCAGACCTTGGGCTAAAGCTTTGTAACTTTTTAATACATGGGCCTAAATAAAAAATTGCCATTGCTACTACCATGTTGCGGCTCCGTATCATAACTGTAGTACAAGTTGCCCCAAGCCATATTATAACTTTTAAAGCCCCTGCCTATATGAGGCTGGTTTATAGAACCAGACTGCTAGAAGCTGGGCGTGCCTTGGTTGGTCCATTTCTGCATCGTCCATGTAGGTGTTCTGTTGGACTTGGGCACGAGGGAGCCAATATACAGATACAGTGTCAGATGCAGACTATACTACATGTGCGAAACCTTGAACCCCAGCCCCCAAATCAGAAAGCATATGCCAAACCTCATGCCCAAAACCGAAATAGGCTGTAGAAGGCTACTACCCTGGACAGCCAACGCACGAAATGCAAAACATACACAAAGACTCCGACACTCTGCACACAACAGCAGCATATAGCTCGGAATGAGTGATCGCATCCCGACCCTTCCTATTTTGCTATGTTAGACTATACCCACCCCCCGAGCCCCCTAAATTAGCGAGGCTGCCATCCATGTGAGATCAGGGCTTAGATTTTGCTTTGGAGATTCGGGGTTGAGGTCCACTAAGCCCTAAAACCTAAACCCTAAACTCTAAACCCTAAACCCCTAACCCTAAACCTAAACTCTAAACCCTAAAACCGAAACCTTAAACCCTAACCATTGGATTTGCTGGAACTGCAGAAGTTGGTAGAACTCAAAGGTTTTCATGAAGCCGCTTGAACACTCACGTTTAGGGTTTAGGGTTTAGGGTTATGGTTGCTGAGGTAGGGCAGCCCAGGTACCTTAAATCAAGACATCTAGCCCCCACCAACCACGTAGTTTTAGGGTCGAGGATTGCGGGTTCAGTAGACGTCGGAAGTTCTAGCATCGCGCTAAAGTCCCCTGATACTTCCCCGACAATAAACCCTAAACCCTAAACCCCTAAACCCCCTCAAAAAATCTAAGTGTTGAGGCGCTTAGCAGCCCGGAGGCGTCGGATCTGACACGCTCCAGCGCAGGTCAGTCTCTCCTTTTTGAATCGCCCCGCGGCAATGCTGGTGATGCACCAGCACGCAGTCCGAATGACCCCTCTGT